AACACACATATTGGTTTAAGTTTCTTATAATTCTCTGATGATTGATATTTGAATATTTTTTTATTTTCAGGAAGTGATTGATACATCCGGAGGGTAAGTTTGGAATAAAAAAACAAATGCAGTCCATTATTTCTGCATACCAGTTGTTGAATTTGGTGATGGTGGTGGTTGTTTTCAGGTGTGGTGCAAGTTTCCAAGTTGAGATTGTGAGTGAAGAATTTGAAGGGAAGAGATTGTTGGAAAGGCATAGGATGGTGAATGGGGCACTGGTTGAGGAGATGAAAGACATTCATGCCCTTTCCATCACCAAAGCTCTTACTCCTGATCAATGGAAGATTAAGCAACAAGAATCTGCAGCTTCTCAACCTCCTTCTACTACTACTGCTGCTTGATATTAATAATCAATAGTACTATTTTGGTTGCAATAATATTATCCTTCACATGTAATCTCTTGCTTATGTATGTGTCTTGTTTGACAAATTGTAATAACAAGTAGCCTGTAACATGGTGTGTGACATCTTGGGTTTTGCTAGGTATTTTCATGATATTTTAAGAGTTTATTTCAGATTCAAATATGCATATTAGATAAATGACGAAATAAAATTCTCCTCCTTCCTTTTTATCATGATGAATTTTTCAGATAATACTGATTCATATGTTCGCAGCAAATGGACTCATGAAAATAATCGAGCTCTTTACTCATCTTCTTTTGAATCATCAATTAACTACAACATTTTATCAGTAGCTTTCTCGAGTTGCTTATACAAGATTACTTTGTTGCTAACGCAAAGTTTGGTTGTGATCTATTTAGAAGAAGGTTTTTACCATAAAAATCAGATCTTGATGATTTAGCTCTAACCATGCAAGTGATAAATGGCCACAAAGTGAGCGTATGGACTTGATAGGTGTCTTAATCCCCATCCATGCATGCAAAAGCATAAAGTTCATAACTTTATGGTTATGGACGTTGTTAGGAGCCTAGATCTATGTTCTGGATGTTTGGACTTAATGGATTAAGTTAAAAGAAGGATTTTAGGGTGACTGGCAGGAACGCTGGGCCTACCCCCTAGTACAATGCGCGTTCCGGGTCAGTTTCCCGCTTCTGGTCAAGGCCAAGGCCAGTGTACGTCGGGCGTATGTGCCAGGTACGCCGTGCGTATGCATGTAGAGTGGTTAACATGGTTTTTGGGCCTTAGGTGATTAGGCCTGGATTTGTTGGGGCTCATGGTCCACTATGGAGTAAGGCCTCTGGGCCTAGGACTGGGATTTATGGTGTTGGGCCTTATTGGGCTTTAAAACTTAAAGTAATGGACTTGGGCCTTAAATTGATTATGAATTGGACCTTGGGAAAAGGCCCATTAGGGTAAGGACTAGGGGACCTTGCCTTGAGAAATGAATTAGAAGTTGGGCCATAAGGGAGTTATACTTAGGCCCAATAACTAACTAGGGAACTTGTTATGCTTTAGGGATAGGAGTTCCAAGCCATCCAAGGAGTACCATTTCGGCACACACGGTTGAGGTGAGTTACCTTCCCTGTATGAGTGGGTCGAAGGCACCAATGTCGACCCACTAATAGTTTTTTTATAGTAGAGATGATTGTCTTTGTGATAATTGTCTGATATGTCACTATCTGTTGAGTTTTATGTGCTTATATGCTATGTTATTACGTGGTAATGGTAGGGGTGAAGTAGATCTCGTAACCGGTCGAAAGAGACCGAAGGGAGGCCAGCCCCAAGATATGCTAGGCAGTATGTGATTTATGTGCTTATATGCTAGGATATTATGTGGTAGTGGTAGGGGTGAAATAGACCTCGTAACCGGTTGAAAGTGACCGAAGGGGTAGGCTGGCACCCACATATGCTAGACAGTTACCGGTTAAAAGAAACCGAAGGGGTTGACCAGCACCCTGATATGATCGGCGGTTACCAGTTGAAAGAGACCAAAGGGATAGACCAGCACCCGGATATGCTAGGCAGTACCGGTTGAAAGAGACCGAAAGGGGTAGGCCAGCACCCGGATATGCTAAACAGTATGTTTAATGTATGGTATGTGGTATTATAGGGGAACTCACTAAGCTTCGTGCTTACGCTTTTTAGTTTTGATTTTAGGTACTTCTTCGAAAGGAAAAGAGCCGGCATCATCGCATCACATCACACTATGATTTTCCCACATGAGATCTTTGGGAGTTGTACTCTGATGATTGTTTTTTTATGACATGTTTTGGTTATTGAGATATTGATTTTTGATTATGATATGGGATGACACTATTGATGTTTTCATACTAACGTTTTTATGAATTACTTAATTAAAAACAAAAATTTTAGTCGTAAATTTTGGAATGTTACAATAATGATTTAAATGTCCTCTACCAATCACCACTATTCAATGAGAAACTACTTGGAAAAACATTAAAATGTTCATTTGCATTTGGCTCCTGACAAGAAAAAATTGTTTGTTGCGCTACAAGAAACAGCAAGAAAGGACATGGAATGGAATTTTGGCGTATTAAATAGTCGTTGGAACCATAATAAGACTCTACACAGTATATAATAAGACTAATTGCACAGTTTGTAGATGTTTTAAGGTGTAACAATATAATATGACTTTGGAAGTGCGCGACTCCGGAACCCACCACCGACTTCAATTGGATCTTCTAGATCATTTTGAGCATGCCTACGTGCCTATTTTAGATGACTAGTTGGTTTTTATTATCTTTTTAATTATCGGATTTATGATTCTAATTTTCATATTTAGGATTTTATTTATAATATTAGGGTTCGGAGGCTTAAGAAAGATATATATTGTGTAATGGGTTGGGAATAATAAAAGAGAGATAATGCCTATCTGGTAAAAAGATTATGATAGAATGACACCCTCCACTTTAAGATGGTTTGCTTATTATATTTTCCTAGAAATAACTAATACTATTTTGCAGCTGATACTATTTACTTTTTGACCAAAAACAAAAGGTATTACTTTAGACCCCGAATGTAACCAAAGTAGGCTTCAACTCTTTTCATAAGAAGCCCCTGAGTTTCGGTTCCAATTCCTACTGTTGTAGGGTTTCTATGTTTGCACTTTGCACTTTGTAGTATCATGAATCTTAATGGGAACCCACTTTCAAATTTCTTGTTTATTTCTTTTGTTATTTATTTATTTAGTATTATTTATTTATTTTTCTATAATGCTATAACATATGTTTGTCTTATTATTACACAATATGATAGTGAAAGACGAAGGTGTTGCTATATATCCGGTGCATGATACCGATCTCCCAACTGAGGTAGAAATAAATCCATATATGATTCTAGAATTGTGTGATTCCGGAATCCACCATCCTTTAATGGGATCTTCTAGATTACATTGAGTACCTAAGTGTCTATTATAGATGACTAGTTTATTTTTATTATCTTTTTAATTTTCATATTTAGGATTTTAATTTCATTTGTATTTGTGTGTTTTTTAATAAAATGTTTTTAAATGTTTTTTAAATCAAAGTTGTGAAGGTTTGGAGGGTTCAAAAAATGTGTTACTTGTGGAGTGGGTTGAAATTGATAGAAGATAGAGAAGAGAGATAAAGTTGGTGTAACGTTTATGTGGCAATCGGATATGATTACTAGTGAAATGGTAGTCACTTGATCATCAAACCATTTCATAAAGCTATAAAAATGATGTTCACTAGTGAAATACCAAGAAGAAAAGAGAAAAAAAAAAGTGGGGAAAGAAGAGAAAGAAAGAGATAGTTTCTTCTCTCTACCTTGTGAAGTTCCGTGACCACACCTACTTGCACTAGGGGCAATGTCCTTTAAGGAGGAGGGAGTCGTTTCCACTGAACCCACTGTCACATCAATTTTTCTCTTTGATTTTTCTTCATCTTTCCGAACCCACAACACACGGAAATCCTATCTTTTTCAACCCACTCAACTCACTCAGTTAAAAAAAATACTAAACAACTAAGGTACAAGTCTTAAACATATGGTACAAGAGAAAATGAGAGAAAGAAAGTAGAGAGAGAGGATGAAATGGGTTTGTGAAACCAATTAAACAACACGCCGCAGAGGGAGTGGTATCGGCGGTAACTCTATTGCTAATTAAGATTTTACCTTGATTATTTTGTATATTTTTTTTAATTGAGTGGGTTGAGAAATGTAGGATTTCTATGTGTTGTGGGTTCGGAAAAATAAAGAAAAATCAAAGAAAAAAGCTGATGTGGGTTTAGGTTCAGTGGATTCAATGGGAACAACTCCCTCCCCCTTAGCCTAAAATGTAGTTTGTTTATTATATTTTCCAAAAAAAAAAAAAAAAAAACCATTAATTATATTTTGCAACTAAAGTTAAACTAATCATTTGCTTTGTGACCAAAAACAAAAAGGTATTACTTTAGACCCCAAAGGTAACCAAAGTAAGTAGTAGGCTTCAACTCTTTTCATAAGGAGCCCTGAGTTTGGGGTCCAATTCCTACTGCTGTAGGGTTTCTCTGTTTGCACTTTGCAGTATCATGTTTCTCACTGGGAACCCACTTTTAAACTTCTTGATTATTTCTTCTTTTTTATTTATTTATTTTTCTAAAATGAAGTTCTTTCTACAATCCTAACAGAGTAACAGTTACTTTGTTTTATTTTGGTCCTCTGTTTTTCACTTATTCTAAAAAAAGTTCCCCCCTATATTCCTTACAGTTGCACTTTTACCCCAAATGACAAGTCGCAGTCCAGAATTTAACAAAACTTATCAAAACACATAACTCTTTAATACCATGTAACATGCACCAACCTTCACTTATTTTCAAGTAACAATTGTTTCCTACTAAAACCGAACAACATCAACATAAGTACATAACAAGAAGGCAACATGAAAGACATGCAAATTACAAAGATTAAAAATTAAAACTAAAAGTCATTACACTACATGCTGACATCAGCATCCAATACAAAAGATTCGAGAAATAATCCTACCCCCTCATCTATCGTATCCGTATTCAATTATCCAATTATCCATCACCATTACCTTCTTCTACGACTAGAATGTCCATGCATACAGAATCATTACAAAAAAGAAAAAAAAAAAAAAACATTTTAATATTTCATGACTTACTAAAATTGCTCCTCTTGCTTCAAAGTATTTTCCTTCAAGCTTTTAGTCAACCAAATAGCCGTTTCCCTAGGCGACACTTTCCCGGGTCCAAACGGTTTCAACAACACCCCAAGCTCTTCAAATCTCTCCTCTTGCAACAACCGCGCACTAAATTCAAGAAGCCCTTCCAACGCCTCCGCCCGTTGCTTCTGCGATGACGTGTCGAACCGCCGCCGCCGGAGGTCCGACGATGTCCGGCTGGATGCTCCGGCGGTGGCGTTTTGGTCGGAGCAGTCGCTTCCGGTGGCGGAGTTGTTGCGGCCGGAGGTGGTTACCATGCATTTGTCTTTCATGATTGAGCGGTCACATGGCGGTGGCGACGAGGAGCCTTGCCCGGACGTTAGGGAGGTTCTACGGGTCGGTGTAAAATGTGGGAATTCTACCATTTTGTCGATTCGAGGGGCGTTTACGGAAACGTCCATGGAATTTGTGTGGTGGAGGAAATTTGCACTTTTGAATGGCGATTCTTCGATTGTGGTTCGTTTTGGGAGGGGTAGAGACGCGCGTCTACTTGTGGGACCCGGTTGTTTTACCGAAGTTCTTGAATCACATTCCTACACAGACCAGTTTCAGTTCAGTTCAGTTCAATCCAGTCTAGTCTTGGATAAAGTTTTAGTAATTAATATGATGAAAAAAGAAAACAAATATTACAATAAGATATAGTTCAACTTTTTTTTTTAATAATTTATAATTACAAAACACAAAAACAAAATGAAAATTGGAATAGATGTGATAATTTTTCTTTTTGATTGTTCATACTTCAAAAGTCAAAAAGGAAACACACATATGTTGTTGTCGTGTAGGGTTAAGTACGCATTCAAGGCAAGGACACGTGTCAATATACGATTGGATTATTGGAGTAGAAAAAAGTACAAACCTAGAAGGGTTTACTATAGGCATGTGGGGGACCGGAGGACTACCAATGTGTTGCATTGGGCCAGCAAAAATAATTAAAAAACACCTAAAAGTATACAATAACTTAAAAAACCAGTTTTAGAATAGTTTTAGTTTTTAACTTGTTAATTTAGGACTGATGGTTAGTTATCAGTCCTAAAAACTAGGACCTGTTGTTAGGACAGTCCCAGATGGTAATACAAGAATATTACCGTTTCACGACCCTTGGAGAGGTCGGTTCGTTTTTTAGTAGCAGAGGAAGTGAATTTGAGATTCTTGGTGGAATTAGAAGCTTTGGAAGAAATATTTCTTGTGATGGGAGACTCTTCACATGTGCTTCCAATAGATAGTCTTCCCATTCTTCTTTGTAAATAATGAGGGGAATCTTGAACACGTTTAGTTGAAAAAGGCGAACCTTGATCACCTAAAGATATGCTTGGATTCAATGTTCTATCATTGCCACATGATAGCCGTCTTTCCCGTGACCTTGGACGAAGATAAACCGGCTCCACAAACCTTGTTTTTTTCATGTAATCAGATTCGGGCCAATGGGAGGTTATGCTACGTTTTGGACTGTTTAGTTTAAGGTTGACTTTTAGAACATAAGGCTGGAGGTGTTGATGCCTCAGTAGCTCTGCTGCCTGTAATATTTCAAAAGATTTTATTTATTGTATCAAATTCCTTTTTATAAAATAAATATGATTTTTTTTTTTATATGCGTACACTTGGCCTTAGTTCCGGATTTTTCCGCAGCATGCTTTTCACGAGTCCCCGACTGAAACAAAATGATTATATTTTGTTTATTTGTGTGTTATAATATAATGATGCATATTACATAATGCAAAATGGAGATAAAAAAAGATTAGTTGACTCACAAGGCACCAGTGTATTTGACTGGAAGTGGTGCTACAATTGACTTATTGATCTTGTTTATCAATGCTTGCATGTCCTGTTTAACAAGTTGAAAAAAAAAAGATTATATGATTACATATTTACATGTACTTGGATCATTGAAAATATTATCTCATTAGTTATTAAAATAGATATAAGTTATAAGAGAACACTTACAAAGGCTTTAAATGCAGCCTTATGGGAAGTCATTTCATATATACAGCATCCTAGAAAAGAAATAATTAATAACATTTAGTATCATTAGTTCATTTATTTTAAGGTGAAATATATCCATTTATTCTTACCAAGAGACCAAATATCTGATTTTGAACCATATGGTATATCTGCAAGAAGCTCAGGGCACATATAACTAGGAGTTCCTACAACCTGAATAATAATATATAAAGAATAAAACAGAATGAAACTCAAAAGCTAAGGATTTTTGTAAGAAACATATCACTTACAGATGAGGCAAGGTCATCTGAAGTCAACATCTTGGCTAGTCCAAAATCACCTGAAAGATGCATTTATTGATTATTCATCATCACTTACTTATAAATCAAGAAAAAGCTTAAGAAAACGATACTTACCAAGACGTATATCTTGATCTTTTGTCAAGAATATATTTGAACACTGTGAAAGGATAATCATCAGCAAACATGAAAGATGTATTACATTACTACTGATAGTATTTTTTTTTTTAGTTTTTTTGAGCTAACCTTAACATCACGATGAAGAACATGATTCAAGTGTAAATAGTCCAGTGCCATTAGAAGTTGTACAAGCCACTTACAAAGTTTCTGCACAATAGTTTGTTGTTTAGAAAGGAAAAGGAATCGGGGGGGTACTCATGAAAGATTGTACCTCTTCAGAAAACAACATGCCATTGGCTTTTTTAATGGCTCCTGCCCTGAAAAAGAGGAAATTGAAACAATCATGTCAATGATCATTATAATTCTATTTGACAAGAAATTATAATTTGAAAGGGGAAAGTTATAAAGTACTAACATGTCTCCACCTTCACAATATCCTATAATAATGCACACATAGCATCCCTGCCAAAAGGAAGTAGATATAGGAACAAATAAAACTAAAAAATTAAGTCTCGATTCAATTTAGTTATAATATATATGTATATTAGCCTATTAGGCTTTTCAGGATGAGTTTAAACTGAATTAAAATGAAAACTATGACAATGGAACATTGAAAGAATGATAATATTTTCATTTTTTACCTTTTCAACCCAGGAATCTTTATACTCCACAATAAAGGGATTTCGCATTTTCGATATAAGCTCCATCTACAAATAGAGACTGTAAATTAGTTTGGACATTCTGAAAGTAATAAAAACTTTTCTAAAGTCATCACTAAATATTTGAGGTTTAGATAGTCATCTTAAAATCATAAGCACATGAGAGATAAGATACCAACACAAGACATAGGAAGTTAAAGAAGAATAAAAAATAAACAATATACATAAATTCAGGTGCATTTCACTATTTTAGGATAGTTGATACCCTCAAAAACAAAAATATGAAAAGATTGTAGGATGATTAGAAGTAAAGGATACCAACCTCCTGATGTGCAGACCTACGTGTTCTATCAGTTTGGCGAGCAAGTCGTATCTTTTTCAACACATACCTTAATATACAGAGAGTTACATCGAATTCAAGAAAACAATCAATATGTGTAGATGAAAATGCAACTAAGCATTCATGGAATAGACATACATACAAACATATTAAGATAATGGAGCAAATGTGCAGACAAACAAAACAACCAAATTACAAAACTTAGTAAATTCAATTACATTCTTACTTTTTTCTTTCATGTTTATGGCGTACAAGAAGGGCAGCACCAAATGCCCCCTTTCCAATTTGCTCAAGCACTTCGTATTGATCCATGTAGCTAGCAATGCATTTCACTCTGTCATATATACGTAGTTATAAAACCATGTAAGTATACAATGTCTTGAAAACTACTTGTGAGGTTCAATATAAAGATCAAAATGTGAAAAGCCAACCAGAATGTGTCAGTGTCTTAAAAACTTGATGTGAAGTTAATTAGTATAGACAATCATTTATTAAAAACATGCTGTGAAGTTCATTCTACAACAACACTTTTTCCTTTCACCCACCATTTATAAAAGTCATAAGTACTCATTGGGAAAAACACAGTGTGACCATGTCCTTTATACTTGCTCTGAAATTATCCAAATTAATGAAACATCAAGAAATAATTCTCTGAAACCGTAATGATTCTCTCAACCACCATAAGTAAATATCAAAATGTGAAAGCAAAGGATAAAGTAACGAGAATGTGTATCTACTTCTCCTTGATTTACGCCACAATGCATTCAATTTACGAACTGTAATTGCGGAATGACGAATGAATCACACTATGAGATACTAAATTTGAATCTAACAAAAAGAGATCCAACCGAAACAAGCAACCAGCAAAGCAAATACCACGAATAATTGCATACAACCGGATTTCGAAACGGATCCAAACCGAATTAAGCACCATTGAACTTGAAATAAGAAATGTGATATAATAATAATAATAATACCACACAATACCTGGAAAATTAATCAGAGAAGATGCAGCTCCAGGAACAGCAACTGAAAGCAAAAGACGAATAAGAATTCAACTTCAAATGCATCGTAAATCGCGCCGGAAAACAAAATTGAAGAAAAATTGAAGTAACAAAAGCTTGCTATTACTTATTATGCTGTATCAGTGACTGAATCGAAGTCAAAGTGAAAAACAAGATTAAAGTATATACCTGATAAGGCGAATTTGAATGAAGTAACTGAAGCAAAGCTGAGAAGAACAGTGAAGATGAAGATTAGTTGCATCGGAGATGGAGAAAGTGAAATCTGAAGCCTGACATTTTGCACGGAAAGACTATTGAAAAATCAAGAGTTGATGAGAGGTTTCAATGGAGAGAGAAGGGTGTGGGGGGTTGGGGTGGGGGAGGGGGAGGGGGTAGGGTGGGGGAACAAAGCAGGCTATGTGTCTGCTGCTACTCTCGTCGTATATGAAAGGTACAGATTTTATTACACAACGTACACGTAACATAGCGTCATTTCTCTAGATCTTTTAATCACTCCACTATATCCATAACTCTTAAAAAAACTTGTGACATTTTTTATTGTGAAAAGAATCTTCCTTAAATTTACTTTTTTATTTGTAAATAAGTTATATAATTATAAAGTATGTTTAACCAAATGTAACATAATCAAATAATGATTCGATTATTTAAAATAAAAGTTAAGTTTTGATAATTTGTTCTTTTACTAATAATTTTAATATGTGCTTATTAATTAAAATTATATCATTTATTAAGTTAATATTATATTTTTTGGATTATTCAGGCATAAGACCTAAAAAGATGTTGACAAAGAAAGGAGATTAGTGACTTAAATTACTTTTTGTCTCATGTGCTAATCATTATAAAGTTAAGTTGATAATTATTGATTTCTGAGTTAATGTTGTACTTATTTTTTGGCCATTAAAGTTTTAATATCTTCTATTATTAATTGCATTCAAAATACGACGGTAAGCCTAGAATGATAAAACTATATGGTTTACTATTTTAATAAAACAGGTACAAAATATTTATAAAAAGAGATAAAAACTACAAAATGTGGGTTCGTGTTGGGTCGAATCATATAAACAATAAAATAGTTATAATTCTTACGATTATACCTGGCGACGTCGTATATCTTGATATATTTTTATAATTGTATCATTACTAATACTTTATAAAATATATTTTTTCAATATAAGACATCAAACTATTACTAAAAAATTGTTCACCCATTTTGTTGTGTAAGTAACATCTCAATCTTCAGGTATGAATTTAAAGCTTATATATGTATTTTCAGGGCAACTCGACAAGTTGGGAGGTGCCGACTCGTCGTGTAGAGTCATGATGACCGTGCATTTTCAAGGTCTACTCGACGAGTTGGAAGGCCCCAACTCGATGAGTTGACGGCTGCTTATGAAACCCTAATTTTTAGGGTTTTGCATCATATTTAAAGAACTTATGACTCATTGTTGGCCTCCATTATCGTCCCCTCAATCTAGAGAAACCCTAACTTGCGCCTCATCTCTCATTTTGAGTGTGTGTGTGTGTGTGAGCTTGGAGTGTATTTTTGGTTCTCTTTTGGAAGGAACTTGAAGCTTGAAGTGGATTGATTCGGAGGAACGCTTTAGATCCGGGATTTTCATTGTTGTTGTAGTCGTTCTGAGGTATAAAGTTGATACCTTGACCATCCCTTTACTAGATCTCTTCATTTGAAAGTCTATGGCTATTATTAGCCCATTTTGGGACCATTATGGGATTTGAGCTTGTTATGAAGCTAGACTTCAGATCTGGACATCTCATGGCCTCCATGGACTTAAAGTCGCCAACTTTATCAGGTTTTGACCCTCTTTCATGCTCTAAGTCCCTTAATAAGCTTGATTTTAGTGTTTCAGCCTCTTGATGCCATGCATGGATATAAAGTTAGCAACTTTACGTAGTATTTCAGTTCTAAGGGACCAGATCTATGGTTTGTGGCACTAGATGCGCTTGGGAATTGGCTGAATGCTTTAAGACTATGAGAAACTCGACGAGTTGCCTAGTCAACTCGATGAGTTGAATCAGATCTCCCCGTTTTCTGGATACCGTAGAAACTCGATGAGTTGTTCTAACAACTCGATGAGTTGGTTTGGATTTTTCTCGTTTTTTAAAGTACTGAAGGAACTCGATGAGTCGATAGATGCACTCGACGAGTTGGTTCAACATGGACTGTTGACATTGGCTATTCACCTTGACTGTTGACTTTGACTTTGACCATGGTTGACCAAGTTTGACTTTGAGGGTATTTTAGGTATTTGGAGGGTTTGATAGAATGGTTATATGGTGGTTGTAGGTTGTTGAGTCCGGAGCTGAGTCTTGGAGATGGATTTTATCAGTTCAACACTACTTGAGAGGTGAGTTTTCCTCACTACACTTACGAGTCGAAGGCACCAATGACGGCCCACCGGATTGATATTTTGTTATGCATATTGCTATATTGTTATGATCTATTAGATCGATATCCTGGTAGATGGGATGATACTGTGCTTAGTGGTTTGTTAAATCTGTTTGGTTGCCTATGGTTTATTATATGATTATCTGTTATATGTGCACATATTTGATTGGTGGTTGAGGCTTCTCTACTTTGTGCGTAAGCCAATAGGTTGGGGCATTCCATCCTGATGGTTGTGGGTCGATGGTATTCCATCCCGAGGATGATTGGACCCATAGTATGTTGACATTCCAACTCGATGGTTCAGGGTCGGGGGTATTCCAACCCAAAGGTTGACTAGACCCATAACATGTTGGCATTCCAACCTGATGGTTAATTGGGCCATAGTATGTTGCTACTATATGTGTGTTGTTATTGGATTGGTATTATGGGGGGAACTCACTAAAGAAAAGATTTTCAGGTACTTAGGATAATCGCGATAAGGCTAAGGCTTGATCGTGCACCTCCTCGTATTTTATTTTATGATTTCTGGGATTACTCTGATGACAAACTATTTTGAGAACAATTTGTAATAAATGGTGGTTTTTGGATGTTTGAAAAAGTTTAAAATATTTATGAATTCTCTGGATGTTACAAGTTGGTATCAGAGCCTTTGTTTGAGCGAATTAGAGGGACACTCGTGTGAATCCAGTCTCAAACTAAAGAAAAGATTTTCAAATGGTTTTCAAAATACTAAAGGAGGATGCGATGTGTACGATCAACCGAATCCAGTAAGTAGACCCCAAAATACCATGTTATTTCTTAATGCTATGATATGTTAGAACAACATGCTAGTATAGGATAGGGATCTTCAGGAATTACATGATAAAACTGTCTGATTATATGATGCCTGATAGCCTAGGACCTTTTCTTTATGAAATTGACATCATTACTGTAGTTTCTTAGTGTATGCATCGTGGTTATATATAACTAACATCTTATAACCTGAAAATGTTTGGTTTCTCCTTATTTCATATTATTGTTTGATGAAGGGCTTAGGGTAGGATAAGATATTCAAAAGTTTATAGGGTCCAGTGTTATGTATGGCTAGCATACGCGAGTGTTGCAGGGTTGGTGAAAGTTTCATGGCCAGTTGTGAGATGTTTGGTTTCCTCTAGGAGTTAGGATTGCACGTTCGGTTATGCTTATGAGTATTGTTAGGGTGTTGTGATGATCCTCAAGAAAAACATAGGTAGGTGTGGAAGTTAGTATGGGCTCGTAATACTTAAAGCACAGGACCCGTATGTGTAGCAAGGAACTCACAACCCTAGGGCTTCGATGGGAGTTGGTTCCCTGTTATGTATGTGGATTATCTGATATCTTCTTGGTGTATTTTCAGTATAGTGGTTACTAAATGATTTGAGACCGGATTCGGGTCGGGACCGTGTAACGACCAAAAATTTCAACACAATTTAAACTTTTCAAAAACAACCCATTTTAATAATGTTATTACAAAAAGGTTTTCCATACATTTATTATCAAAGTATTCCCAGAACCATGTCATAAACATAAACACGAGGAGTGGTGCGATCACGCCTTCGCCTTGCCACGGTCTCCTGAAGAACCTAAAAAACATTTAAACCACAACTGTAAGCCCGAAAGCTTAGTGAGATACCCCCAAAATATCAACCACATATACGCCTTCCAGGCTACGACCTTTCGGTCCCAAACATATTGCCTTCCGGCCCATAACATATTGCCTTTCGGCCCATAACATAAATAGCATATATAACATAATAGAACATAGAACAGCCATGCATATCGGGTCTACTGTGTGACTGGTCTGCCGTATCGGCCTTCAGTCTACCCTCCGTGTCTAGTCATGTCCTTCGAGTCTGCAGTGTGGTTGGTCTGCCCGCACCGGGCCTTCAACCCACCTGGTCCACTCTCTGAGTCTACAGTATGATTGGTCCGCCCGCATCGGGCCTTCAGTCGGCCTGGTCCACTCTCCGAGCCTCGGCATGTCTGGTCCGCCCTTGTGGGGCCTACAGCTTATCCAGACCGCTCGCTGGGCCTTCGGAACAACCGGTCCGTCCTGGGTATCTTGGCCTACAGCACAAAGCAGGAGCCGCCTCAACCCAACTCCAGTCCAAACAACCATATGCACATAACATACAATCATATAACAGTTCATAGTCAACAAGCCGATCAAGCAGATCACATAACATATCATTACCCTAACCAGGATATCGACCTAACCGGTCACTAGCATAGCATCACCCTACATATCAGGAAACCGACCTTAACTAGGTCTCTAACATATACCATCCTAACTACCGGGATGCAGACATATCACAGCAATAACATGACAACAAGTATCCGAATCTCAATCCGATAAAGGGCCGGCCTTGGTGCCTTAGACCCTGTCGATATAGTGAGGATAACTCACCTCGCGAATGTCGATACTCTGAACTGAAGAAGCAGAATCTCGAATCACCAACTCACCGCAAATCCCGAACTAACCATTATAACAAAATAAACATTAGGTCAATCATACTTCCACTTATCGAGCCAAGACCAAAGTCCAATATTTTCCCAATTTACCAAATTGGGCCCACCTCACCAAATGGGCCTAGATCCAATGTCCATAACAATAATTGGGCCCAAAATACTCTATCCATAATTTCCAAACTTGGCCCAATAACCAACTGTCCACTAACGGCCCAAACTCAAAGCCCAAAAAGAAAGTCCAACAGGAGAAGTACGCTGGGCGTACCCTCCTTGGTACGCTGGGCGTACTGCAATGTTCACAAAAGAAAACAGGGCATTGGCCCGCTACGCGGGGCGTACTCAGGGGTTACGTGGGGCGTAACTGCGATACTCATTATGTCCTTCTAACCTCTTAATGGCTTAAGCTCTTAAGCACAAACTTCAGATCCCTAGGCCAAATATGATTAGAATCCATAAAGTC